TGACCTGAAGCACCAGATCGGCCAGGTACCTCGGTGCCTCTTTGGCTGATAGAGGGTGAGTGTACTGGACCGCAGTTAAGATATGGAAGCGACTAGTGCTGAGAACAGAAAAAACAAGAAAAATAAAATGAGAGTAAACCGGAGGTAATAGTTTTTTAGTAGCAGAGGGTATGTTATGATGCAGCGTCTTCAATAGGACTGGACAACGTGGTAGAGGGGTGAGCCATGAAAACTCAAAAACAACCTTAAGGTAAGACTACTCCAATAAGCTGTTTGAATCAGGATCATCTACATGATCTGCCAGCACGATACAAACTGAGGTAACAGAGGGCCACCTAATCAGGAAATTCATTTGAGAGAAAAAGAAGCATTTCAGTTAGACGTTGGGAGAAAAAGCAAGATAACAGAAAATAGGACAGAAATATTTTTCAAAAACTTTTAAAGTCTTGTGAGGCAAATCAGACAAAACAAATTCATTAGAGATATTTCAACAATTTTCATTTTTACAAAAAATAAACTTTAGTTCATCCATTCTGGCATTATGGGTTCAAAGTTGATTGGATCAATATACCATGCAAAGACTTTTTAATATTCACTACCTACCATTCATAAGTGCCTCCTACTTGAGGGTCCTCCCTCAAAATGGTAATGATGTTGAGCTAGATATGACTTGCCAACCAAACAATACATACTTAATCCACACGGATACATTTAAAAAGGGTGAGGATAAAGAACAAAGATAAGAAGAAAGAAAATCAGAACCGAACAGGAATGCATGGAGAACATGAAACCAGTTTATAATTGGTGCAATTTTTAACAAGTTCATGACCAGGAACCATCCTTTTAACCATCCAAGAGTCGATGGCCGATTAAATGAGTCATACGTTTCCTTCTGTGCCATCGCTGCCGATTTAATAAGCTGTAATTTGAGACAGTATCCTGATTTTTTATGTCGCCAAACATTTTAACTCTTTCACACGAGAGCTGCATTTCCTATATTTAGTCTACTTTCTGTAAATGTGAAGGTTTACTGCCTTCACTAGGTTGGTTAGCCTGTTCCCAAGCATTTCCCTTGGCACCACCAGCTATTTGTTAGCAAGACTGTGAGGGTTAATATAAATGTACCTACAGATACAAGAAGTCCCCTCTCCAACTACGACCCAAGTCTTGCACATATCTCAACACCACCCACTAACTCACCTCTGAGCATCAACTTTCACCATATTTTTCCCAACAGAGACAGTGGCTATTGCAATCGCAACTACAAGCTCGGACTTGGTGACTTCCACTGTCCCAGAGTAGATCTGGAAGCTGACCGACTGACCAGCCGAATTCTTGGAACTGCATCAAAGAGACAAAGTGCGACTCTAAAAAAACAATGATAACATCTGACTTTTCAGTCTGTTTTGGGGAAACAGCAACATGCCCATACAATGAAAGTCATGTAATGAGAAAACACGGTTTTAGAAACAACAAAAATCCTATCTGCCTGTTTGAGGGAAAAAAACAAGCCCATTGAAACAATGTTTATGTAAGGAAAAAGAACCCATCTTAAAAGGAAAAATTATTCACTTTCTCTTTTATTTGTTTCTAGTTTTGTTTTAGTAAGAATTTAATGGCACTTGCTACAAAATAAGGTCATACAAGTGCCGAAGATTAAAGGTGTTACAAGAGAGTAACAAACACAAAATAGAAGGAGAGACCAGGACGATAGATGTTCGAAAGGAAAGAAGGAGCAAACCACACCAGAGCACCCACCAACCACCCACTTGTTTCTAGAAAAGAGAGATAGATGACAGTCACAAAGAAAAAAAAAGCTACTTTCTCACAATACACAATACGTTGATACACAAAAAGAACATAGCAATGATGAGCTTACCTGCCAGATTCAATCTTGACACCATCCCAGCCTGAGGCTCCAACCTGATCAAACTCAATGGAGATTGGTGTCGACTGAAGACCAAAAACACATAAGGATACAGTAAAAGTCAGCACCGAAAAGAAAAAGGGAAAAATGTCTGCAAAAGAATGGGGGTAAGGAAAATGTCAAGGCCAAGGGTTCATAGTTTAGTTTTCATAAAGAGTTTTTACAGTACTCACAACACTAATAGGTTAAAAAGTAATGAATTTAGAAGTGTTATTACACAGTAACGAATAAACAAAAAGAGGAGAGATGTAGAAGATAGATGTTTGATAGGAAAAAATGAGTAAACCACATCAGAGTACCCACCAACCATCCACAGTCATGGGCAAGGGTTCAAAGGTGAATGGAGTCATCATTTTCCCTTTATACTAAAATGTTCCTAAATAGAACTCTTTTTTGACTTGCTACATTGACTTTGTCAGCCCCCCCCCCCCCCCCTCCCCCGAGAGTCGCTATACCAACATCTGTGTTGTAGCAGTTAGGAGCTTCACTGTCGCACACAGGAGACCCAAGTTCAATTCCAGAACGGGGAAGGGGGGATCTCGTGGTCTAGAGGTTAAGGTGTTTGCTTCTCATTCAATTGGTCCCGGGTTCAAAACCTGACAACCACGGACAAATTTTCTTTTCTAAAATTTTCCCCTTTCATCTCCATTTCTGCTCTCTTATTATGCTCTGTTGTCTGCTTTTGTCTCCAATTTCTGCCCCCACCCCCTCCCCCTTTGTCCCCTCCTCTGGGCACCTGACTCTTTCTGCAGCCTTTCTACTACTACTCCCTGGCTCCTTCTTACTGCGGTCTTTCAGCCACACCTCTTACCTTAGGGTAGGTAAGATCTAATACCTAGCCTCCTCGGAAAAGGGCGAAAAATCTCAGAGGTCCCATGTGCAAGTTGTGCACGTTAAAGATCCATTGGCGATCCAAAATTGATAGGAGTAGGCTTCAACTGGCCCCCCGGTACAAATTCAAAATAAATTCCTCCTAAACTTAAAATGTTTAATGTGTCCCGCGTGCTCATATGACCTTAGGCAGTTGCAAGTGCCGTAAAACACTTACCAAAACAAACAAAAAGTGGGAAAGCTTTTATCGAGTATCTTTGTTTCTTGCTAGGATGTAGTATACCTCTCAGCCCGGGTTGGCCCTGACAGGCAGGGTCAGAAGCCCTCCTTCTAAATGATCTAAATTTTGTCAATGGAGGCATAAAAACACCTACATTTTTTTTAAAAATAAATTTTTAAGACTTACCGTTGGGTTTTGCACTCTGATGTCCTGCACTAGCAAACTAGGTCGTGACCGGTGAGCATACACCTGGGACCCCACACTCACACAGCCTCCAATCTGGGGGTGACACAATCAAAACAAACATAAATAGACAACAACATAGCTGAAATTGTCTAAGACGGCAGTCCACTGATGAGGAGAAAAATGGTTGTCTTAAACAGGTTGACGTTTTGGACAATATTATTATATCTAAAAAATGTAAGGGGGAGGTGTGACGTGGTCCTTTGCATAAGGTGATCATCTTGGACAGGTGGCCAGTAGAGCAGATTCTTTTTAATAGAAAAAGTAACCTTTGTTTAGGAATATCCCAAAACAAATTTATTTTTTATTGGAACACAAAAAAGAACAACTTAAAACCTTAAAAACGAATTCAGAATCCAAAAATTTCTTTGGACTACCTATTGCATAATAATCTATACAGTAATGCTTTTCAATGGCATTGCAAATTGATCAAAAGCATGTCAAGACAAAGATGACAGAGGATTAAATCAAAAGCAGCAAAGATTACGAAAGGAGAAAAAGTGAGGAGTGAATCTGCACAATAAATGAAGTGATACCAGACACTGTAACACACAATAAGCTGCACAAGACATGAACAGGACATACTTTACAGATCCTCCACTCAGAAAAATTAACAACTTCTATTAAACAAAATGTTTAATACACAGCATCATTACAACCCAATCACACAATGCAAATATAAGGGCCCACACACAAACACAAGAACACACTCTTTCCAGCACCCAAGCACTCGGAACTATTTTCCTTACCGTGGAAAGGACCTGAGTCTTGTAAGCCAAACCAGCCCTCACGTCAAGGACAGTAGAAGCTGATGACACACAAAGTACATAAGCGTGTTTAGAGGGAACTCCAGGCTATTCTTCTCCTCACATTATTTTCTTACAAATATTTTACATCTATAAATCCTCAAACCTATATGAAAATCTCTTTCGTATCCCTTCTCTTGCTCTATGCAGCACGACCTTTTGCCATTTTATAAAACACCCTGGAAGAGAGTAACATTTGAGCTGAAATTCCAATGCCTGCATACATCACATAATGACATTCAAGAAAAGAGGATGGCGATAGACTAGGCACTAGATCAAGAAAAGAGGACGGCGATAGATTAGGCACTCTTAGGAAGCCAGCCCTCAGTGTGACAGGACCTGGTCTAGGTAGCTTTATTTGTTTTTCTGTCTGCAGGTGTGATGTGTGTACATTCGTGAGCAGTTCTACATCAAACCAGTAACTATTATACAAAAATACATGTACACAAGAAGCACAGAGGAGCTAACATTGGCTAGACAGCCAACAGTATGACTTTTGCATAAGCTTTTGACTCCCCATCAATCGAGTTGTGTTCCTGTGAAGACACACTATACGCCCTCATCATCTGCCTCAAGCCAAAAACCTAGTTGTTTTGACCAATCATTTGTGGATTACAGAAGAAATCAAAATTTGCTCCCCACACTCTTGAATAAAGAGAACGGATATAAAAGAAAATGTGTCACGACGTGGTGGAATCAGGCAATCGGCAATTTTTGGGAATGTGGAGTTATTGGTATCGTCTTAAAACTTGTTCAGTTGTGTTGCTATCAGTGAAAAAATTAGCCACATTTGAAATTGAAGAAGGTGGGGTCGCCTGGTTTCAAAGGTAGAATTTGCAAGAAAATGGCCGTCAAAGTTTGGTTATTTCCATAGCTTGATAGTCCGTGATCACTGAAAACTTACATTTTTTTGTGCCTTTAATCAACGTTTTTTCAGTAAAATCCATTCATAAATGTGGTCTTAATTGGATAACAAAGGTGTTAAGCCAAAAAAACAAAAGTTCGATAAAAATTACCAGACTGGTAGAAAAAGGCCAGTTTCTTCAATTTCACTATTTTGACAGACGCCTGATTTCACCGCACTGCCTCACAAATCATAACATGGACAATTCAACCAGAAGGAAGTATGAAAGCATTGCAAAATAAGTTTTCCCATTTCAATGTTCACCAAACAGCACATAGCAAAAAATATTCTCCGTGTCAGTGACGGCTGAAAAAAAAACCCTACAGCATCAGAGGGGACCATTTTAAAAATTCAGGTTTGAAATCTAGTGGTCACAAAATGAAAGTAAATAATTGGTCAAATAAACCAGTAGGTCATCATACAGATCTCAATGTTATCGTCTGTTGGTTTGTGAAAGGAAGACTCTCTACTTTGTCAGCATTACCTTTGAAATGCCCCTCAAGATGTGTCTGCACAATGGGCCAAAACTTGACAGGCTGAGACAGGGCCCGGTAAAGACGGATGTACAGGCCATTGTCAGAACCCAATGCAGCAGCTATTTTTCCATTACCTGGTGACAAAAAGACAGACAATAAATCAACCATTTTGAAATTGCACTACAAAAAATGATTTTTTAAAAAGGGAAAAATTTTATGACATTGAGACAATATTTTAAAAAACAAACAATTTCATACAAACAGCATTATCAACATCAATCACTTAACCCTTTCAGCCCCAGCCAGTTTTGTGCACTCCCTAACCCCAGTCCCAGCCAATATAGCAGTATTTCAGAACAAGAGGCATGCATTCTAAAAAGTGATGTAGTACCTAGGTGATGAGGTTTAGATAATAACATATAACAATTTTTAAAGGTAAATGAACTAATGTTAAGATAATTTAAGTTAAATTAGATTCACTGATTTTGAAAAATGCTCAAATCCGGGACCCACTGAAACTGAGAATATATGCTCTTGGGACGGTGGGAGGTACAGGCGTTGTTGAAAATATATGAGCTTGGGGCTGGAAGGGTTAATGATAGAACTAGAATATATCAGCCCTTGTTGTTGTTGTTGTTATCCATCCAGCAACAGCTGGGCTCTCGCCCTTCTGTCCAATGCTATGTAGTGATAAGTGCAGGTTAGCTGGAGTAGCTGTAATGTTCTGTAGAGTGCGTGGTCAATGTTAGGTCTCGGAGGGAGAAGGGAAACTCTGATGTCATTTAGGGCTGTGCAGTGGAACAGGTGATGATCTACAGTCTTATATGTATAGTCATACAAGGGACACATAGGGTGAAGTTCTGGATTTATTCTGTTCAAGTGGAAGTTGAGCAGTATATGTTCTGTACGTAGGCGGAAGATTGTGATCTGTTTCTTTCTCTGTAAGTGGTTGATTTTGTCATTCCGCTTCGTTGTGGTTACATGTTTGAAAACTGCTTTGCCTGTCTTTCCCAGGGCCTATCTGTCCATCCAATCTTGTTTGTTGCTGCTTTTAATGATTTGTTTTGCAGTGTTGTATGAAGTTGTAATGTTGGGTTGTTCCTGTTTAGATCCATGTTTGGGAAGTGTGTCTGCTCTGTCATTCCAGGTATGTTTGAGTGTCCGGGGACCCACTGTATTACCAGGTTGATGCCACAGAATGTTATCAGATGACGGGAGCTAAACAGTATATGTATCAAATCTTGGTTTAAATGATGGTCATTTTCTATCGCTTGCAAGACTGATTGTGAATCAGTGAAAATCGCAATACTCTATGCTTTTCCAGGATGAGTCATAGACTGTGCGTAGATGCTATAGTGCTGTTTCAATTGCCATCATTTCTGCATCATAGTACTGCATTTCTCTTGACAGGCTGCACAGAACTAACTTGAACTTCCATCTGGGTACTGTACTAGTATTCCATATCCAGCTTTGGTTGTGCCTTTGAATGCTCAGCCGTCGGTATAGACATGTATCCAGTCATCTGAATAGCTGTTGATTGTTTGATGTGATGCACGCATCAGCGTCACTGGGTCTGAAGAATTTGTGTTATTGTCTCTGAGAGATGTTGTAATGATTGGCTTTTTCAAAGAAAGGTGGGGAGGGATGTTTGGTTGACTTTTTCGGCTTTTTTTCTGGTTTGTGGTAAGTAGTGACTCTCCATTAGTTCTGTTATGTGATGCACGATAGACTTTTGTTGAATTCGTTTCTTTGGTTTCCACATTTCTACTAATTTTCTGTTTGGGTGGTAGTGGCACATTCTTTTGGTTCTTTCACGTAGCCCTAAAAATGCTTTATCTCTGCGGATTTGAAAGGATTTCACATACGCGGCAGTAGGTGTGGATCTCATGCCACCATTTATAAAACGAGGGGCATTATTTTGGACCTTGTCAAGGGTGTTGCAAGTAGTTGTACAGCACATAGTGAGTAGGCTATTGCTGTACTCCAGGGAAGATCGGACAAAACCAAGTTTTAGAGCTCCTCGAGTTTGTTTGTCTGATCCCCATGAACTGCTTGCGAGTTTCTTTTAAAATTGGAGTCTTTTTTTCGCCTTGTTCTTTATGTTCTCCACTTGACTTTTTATTGTTAGACTTTGGTCAAGTTTGACTCCTAGGTATGTTCGTTGTTCTTTTTTGGGAAGACATACCAGCACTTAAAGTTAATGCAAACTGTAGCCTACCAAGCTAGTAACTTTTCTTTATCCACCAAGAAACAATACTTTTCACTCTTATCCTTAACATGCGACATACCAACATAAGCAAGTCTCTGAGCTCCAGAGATAGTCTCTTCGAAATCCCCGGAGACGAAAGCGTCAAAATGATCTAGCCTTGACTGAAACTGAGCCAAGTTCTGGTTGAGGCATTCTGTTGCACTATCTGTGGACAAATTTGAAAACAATGATTATAAACACAGCTTTTCCTTATTATGATCTTACTATAACATATCACTAACACTCTGAGGATTTGAGATTACGCTGTTGGACTTGTGATCAAAAGCGGTGAGTTTGACTCCCAACAGAGGTAACTCCAACAATATTTCTTCTAGAAAGGCATTTTAAAAGATTTTTTGCATTATTCCTATCACCTGCAAGTACAGTAAAACCTGCTTTAACAACCACCGGTATAGACAATCACCTGTATTAAGACAATTTCCCATCCCCCCCCCAATGAGTTTTTGAAATATTATAATGACATTGTGTAAGATGTCCACCAGTCTAAGATTGCCACTTTTTTCCTCAAAAATGTTTGACTAGGACTGAATTTCAGAAAGAATAAAACTTGTGACAAAATGTATATATAAAAAAATGGGTGGCCTGGGACAATCTTTTAAGCAAAGCACATCTAGAAAATGTGATATAACCCAGGCCATTGTGATCAATAAGGGAATGTTACTTTTATTGAACCTCATGGCACCAAGCATTGTTAGGTTGAGTCTCAGACACTCACAAGATTCAGAACTGAGAAAGATACAGAGTCTGAGGGCCCCTTACTTCAGTCAATGCAAACCTTGAGAAGATTTATACTCACCGACTTGAATCGCTTTCCGTCTGTCCAGGTGAAAGAAATAGGGCACCAGGTAGTAAATGAGGCCTAGGATGAGGACGATGACCATCAACAGTTTCCTGGATCTGAAAACAAATTAAGTTTTACACCATTTTGAATTGAATGCAAGTTAGGTGTAATCATCATGGGGTTCTCAACCTTTTGTCATTTACAACTCAGCTCTGATATAATGAAATGTTTTTGGACCAGCTTTCAAAAAATCTATATATTTTAAAAAGAACAAATAGACATGATAAAATATGACACTACAAGGGAGACTTACTCAACTTCATGCACTAAACAGTGCTTTTTGCAGCACACATCATAAAGCATGAATTTTTTCCATAAAAAGTCGATATTAGCCTCAAGATTCATGATTATGATTTGGTGTATCATACATGTTCCTTTCCTTCCAAAGTTATATATTTTCCTGGTAGAGACTGGGATAGAGAAAGAAAAGATAGGGAGCTGGGAATATGAGTACGTGACTTCTTGTGTGTATCTGTGTGTGTGGGGTTTGTTTGTTTGGGTTTTTTTTGGGGGGGATGACATTTATGTCATTGAGTGAGGCTGGGCTTCCCCCCAAAAAAAATCCTAATTGAAATAGTAACTGTATAGCTAAACCTGCTTTCTGGTCATAGGAACCTCTAAATCAACATCAGTCTCTTACAACCCCACGATAGAAGCCCTCAAAATAGCTTAAAATATTTAAAAACTGTGGGCATTCTTTCAAAAAGATCACAGGTAAACTTGCGAAAAAGTAAAACAGCGGTAACACAAAAAAATACAAATCTACATGAAAAATCTTCACCTTCACCTTCCTTAAATTACTGAATCAAAGACATCTCTACAAATAACTTAATAATGTAGCAGGATGAGAATGACATGAAAAGTTCTCACACAATCTCGATAACTTACACACATGAAATAAAGATCAGATATAATTTTATTAGTCTGGAGTACCATATTCCTTCAGACTCCAGTTTACATTCCCCCCCTCCCCCCCCCCCCACCCACCTTAAAAAAACCCAACCCAAAACAACCCATCAAAGAGCCTACTTTTAAAATCTTAAAATATAAGATTACAGATTGCATTTTTATTTTGCTAACGAATGCCAGATCAGTTACCCTACTGTGTGAAAGAATCAGAGAGAAACTGTGTCTAGTTTTTTAATAAATTAGAATTCAAATTTCAGAATCCCTCTATTTTTAAATGGTTACGCTGATTTTAAAAAATCCTCTTTTTCTCGAAACTGCATTGAAGAAAAAAAGGCGTTTTGTCAGCTTACAGCAGTTACATGGGCCTCTACTCTACTCTATGCCATGCCGGCTTCCAGTTAACATGTCACACTGTGAAGTTGTCACATACCTCCATTGATCTCGTCACATACTCGTAGGACTGGCAGGAAAACTCACACATGTCAACCTTTAATTAATACTTAATATTTTAAAAATACAAAACCAGAGTTTATTCAGTCAAAATCTACACGTCAACCTTTCTGTTTTAACATTTTTAAAGAGAAAAGAGACACATTTTTGGGTGCAATGTATATCTAACTATATAAAAGTGGACTTGGGAGGCTTTGTGCACAAACTCCTCCCTTATTACCTAACCCACACCTTTGAAACTTTCAGGCGTCCAAAGAATCCATGTGGCTAGGACCTAACTTTTAAAAAATCCATGCAAACTGCGTTTTCCTATTTTTCCAAAATGCTTTGTTTCGTCCACACAGAGAGTGACAGATTTCTAGGCCTAGGCTAACTTACAATCAACAATTCCGCAGTCTCATTTTTTAAAAACCGGAAGTCTTTTCTCAACACAATTTTTCGTGACGTTTGTTTTGAGAATATATATCAAGACCTTTTAATTTTTTGCATCTCTTTAGATTTATTGCTCTATTCCAGTAGAGAGTATGGTAGGCCAAGGACTTTCAGTTGATGTTAATGCACCGATTATTCCTTTCATCAAAAGGGGGCCCAGCTAGTATATTTATAAAACCTGTTAAAAATTTGCATGTAAAGCCCTTACTGTCATGCAATAAAAAATATCTTGTCCACCAACACCGTACATTGCTGGCTGTTGAATACACGGGGGAGGGGATGTGACAAATTCACAGTTATTTGGATTTTTTTTTTTTCAGTGAGCTCAAGACATGTTTTTCAGCTATGACTACTTCACCGTGTGACGACTTCACTAGTTCCCCCTATGCCTGGGGATCGTGCTAAAATGCAGAGAGTTCCTATCACAAACAAACAAAAAATGACTCACAGTGACTATTGAAAACTATTTACATTTTATTACTAGGAAGACTATCTTTCTATGTCTGTCTTTCTTTTTTCTATGACTTTGAAGCCAAGTTCAGGCAATCGGGAACTCTGGAAACTGTGCCTGGACTAACTTTTTAAACAAAATTTTTTTATTAAAAAGAGCTTGAGCCAGAACCACAGTATTTTATGTGATGCAGTATGGTTTTGTACTCCTTATAGATTTTTTTGCCCATTTCAATATGTCACATGACAACAGCATGGCAATTACTTCCAAATACACATTTATGTATTGAGTCTTCAAAACTAGTTTACTAGTACTGAGGGTAAGTCTAAAGCCATCATACTTCAGGCATACGTGTAAATACTTTATCAGGCTTCACAATTTTCATCAATTGCAATTTTTAAAAGTATCTGACGTGCAAAAAACTGTTGTCATCATATAGAATTGTACATTTTGACGTCTAGACAAGCTTAGAGCAAAAAAGCTCGATTACAACAGCTGAAATCGCACAAGGGGTTTCCTCCTGAGGACAAAATTGGGGTGAGAATAGCGCAGCCCCCAGTTGTAGGCCTCACACTCAGGGGAGAGAATAGTGCAGTTGTAGGCCTCTCACCCGGGGTGCGAGGGCAAATCTTCTAGCCATTCTCACCCGTTGTATGTTCACCGCCTTGGCCTAGTGCATTGGCTCAGGATGATCACTAGGGGCCAGAGGGCAAGCTTTTTGGCTATTCTCACCGGTGCGCGCTCACTGTGAAACCAGTGTAAACAAACTTTTAAGCGCTCTTGTGTTGAAAGCGTGCAATTTTGTCTGTGAGTAGTGAGAGAGAGAGAGAGAGAGAGACAGAGAGAGAGAGAGAGAGAGAGAGAGAGAGAGAGAGAGAGAGGGGGGGGTGAAACGGGGGACACCACATGACCCCTGAGACGAAGAGGGATTGATTCAATGGTTTGGAAGCACACGTCTTCACCTCCCCCGAAAAAGTTCAAAGTTCAGCCATTGGTGAAGAAACTCATGGCCACGGACTTCTGGGATGCTGAGGGTATTCTGCTTCTTGACATTCTGGAACCAGGACAAACTGGTAATGCTGCCAGATACTGCCAGACTCTTGATAAGCTGAGAGAGGTTGTGTGCCAAAAAAGATCAGGCCAGTTGTCCGGCGGGGTCAATTTGCAGCATGACAACGCAACGCCACACACCACAAACGCTTCGAAAGACTGGATCCAAAGGTTCGGCTGGGAAGTACAGCCACAACCCCTTCACAGTCCTGACTTGGTCCCGTCAGATTATCACCTTTTTGGACCAAAGAAACGCCATGAACAGCGATTCATCGACAAAGAAGACCTCGTGGAAACCGAGAAAGATTGGTTGAAATACCTTGAGAAAAAAAATTCTTCAGGGAGGGTATCTTCTCCCTGATCCAGTGATGGGAAAAATGCGTCCAGCGGGATGGTGATAGCATTGAAAAATAAAGCACATGTTGAGGTATGATGAGTTACATTTTTATTATAATAAGACAAAGATTGTTGCTTTTATGGACCTTTTCCGGTTTTCCGTGGGACTGCCCTCGTATAATGAGCATTATCATATATAACACTTTGGTAAAATGAAAAAATATGCTTTCTTTTTTTACTCCACATTTTTTTTTCCAGATCAGACAGTGAGACTGTAGGTCTGTAACTTTTGTGGTCAGAATGAAGAACACTAATTTATGACCCTGAAACAAGATGGCTGTTACTATAAATATCAGCCAATGGCGTACTCCTAACGTTCTCTAACTATCCGCATGTGTAGGCCTTTTAAAAATTGTTTTAAGTCACTTTGATCATCCACACCGATAGACAGTATTCACAAATTAGGAAAAACAGGCCTTGTTTCACAGCGGGTGAGAATAGCCAAAGCTGGCAAATCTCATCCGGGGTGAGAGTTCGATCGTATTTTTATTCTCACGCGGTGTGAGAGGAAAACCAGCAATGTGGTAGGCTATTAAATATTATATTACAGTCGGCTCTATTTCTCCGAACGCTCGGGAAAATAAACTTGAACTGTATTTCTCCGAACGGTTTCTGTTCTCAAGATTTGCTGATAATAATTGCGAATGGAGTGGCCAGTGTGTGTGTGAGCGTGTGCGCGTGTGTGTGAGAGTGGGTGAGTGTGTGTGTGAGTGAGTGTGTGTATGTGTGTGTGTATGTGTATGTGTGAGTGTGTTTGTGCGTTCTCAAGATTTGCTGATAATAATTGCGAATGGAGTGGCCAGTGTGTGTGTGAGCGTGTACGCGTGTGTGTGAGAGTGGGTGAGTGTGTGTGTGAGTGAGTGTGTGTATGTGTGTGTGTATGTGTATGTGTGAGTGTGTTTGTGCGTTTGTGTGTATGTGTGTGTGTGAACGGAGCGTGGGGTGGGGGGGGGGGATTTTTTTTGTTTACAAGAAGGATTTTATTTTTTGTTGGGAGACTAAATGCAAAATATGTTACTGCCAATGTCGATTGGTCTTGTTTTCTCGAGTACCTTTTGAAGGCATTTTCAAATGAACTATAGTCCAGGAACGTTGCCCCAACAACAACTGAAGTATCTGAATATTCAGACATTTAAAAATCTCTAGCTCAAGAAATTGAATTCGAAGCAAAAAAATGCTTCTTCACAGTCCTCGCAGAATGACAGAATGAAAGATGACACGAAAATCTCGCAAATATCCAAAAAATCTCGAGAACGGAAACCGTTCGGAGAAATAGAGTTCAAGTTTATTTTCCTGAACGTTCGGAGAAATAGTCACTTTGTTATATATATATTATTATGATGTGGCTGCTCCGATGATGCTGCTGCTAATCTCTTCTAGGCATTGTTTATCGTGCCCGGGAGAGGGGAAGAGTATTCTTCCTGCGTCTTTTCAGCAATTTTCGCACACTTTATTATTGTCTTTGCGTTTACCGTGTTTAAATGTCAAGCATCACTACCGGAATTCCTATGTTATTAGCATGCTGGAAACCTTGTAACCAATCAATAGAGCAAGGCTGATGGGCTGCAGTTAGCCGCAAGTGTAAAATTTTAACGTGAGAAACATCGAAACGGATAATACGTCAAGCCATTGACCCAACATGTCATTTCGATGGCCTTCAAAAAACAGTCTGTGGGTATCCCAGGAAGGGATGACATCACATTACTTAAATTAGCAGCCAATCAGGAAGTAGGGTCGTTCTACATTTAGTCGCATATTGTCAAAAAAAGGCACACTATACCTCTACATTTAGAATCTAAAGATTAAATCTAGATTTCTAGAGAATCTAGGGTACAACTTAAAAATCTGGGTCCCGTCTGTTAAGTAGTGCTGGGCGGCTAGGTTCCCGATTCTTGAAAGCTAGGAGTCGTAGGAACCGACTCCGAACCCAATTACTTACTTTCTAATGATGTGATTTCTTCCGGAGGTTATCTGGTTTGCTCCGAACGTCTTCAGGGTTTAGGATAACCTTGATTTCGGAACACTACGAAGCATCAATTTTTATTTTTCAAAAACAAATTCTTCAAAAAAAGATTTTAATGAAAAAAATAACTGGTAATCGCTGGTTTACGTAAAAAAAAAAGGAACTTTTCTTCCGTAGCATTGATCGAGGGAATCGCTTCCGGACTCAATTCTGCGCCCAGTTCTACTGTTTAGACTTGGCATCATCCACACAAAGTACTTGGATATCGATACTGGTTTAAATATTCTGCGTCGATGTTTTATCAGTAGATCAAGCCCAATGTAGCCTACAAAATGAGCAGTAAAATTTCACTTGTTGAACAAGGCAAGGAGGGTTTAAGGGGGGATTACCCCCTGACCTAAAAAAAATCATTGGGGGGGGGGAGATTTGACCATAATTTGATCATTTAAATTTGCGAAATAGGTTTGATAGGATATATATATATATATCGGCATGCGCATTAAAAAGCGATCCCTTAGAACCAGAAGTATTCAACGGTGGGGTCAAAACACATGAAGCTACAGCAAGCACCTAGCACACCTCTATGACTGGCCAAAATGTAGAGATGACGTATCCGCCATCTATTTTTGTCATCTTCCGGGGTTTCCCTCACCAGTTGACTGGATCTCCCCGAGTTTGTTTTTTTGTATTAAATAATCAAAGTGACTATTTCTCCGTAACGTTCGGGAAAATTAAGTTGAACTCTATTTCTCCGAACGGTTTCCGATCTCGAGATTTTTTGGTTATATTTGTGAGATTTACGTGTCATCCTTTCATTCTGCCATTCAGCAAGGACTAGGAAGAAGCATTTTTTTTGCATCGAATTCAATTTCTAGAGCTAGAGATTTTAAAATGTCTGAATATTCAGATACTTCAGTTGTGGTCGGGGCAACGTTCCCGGACTATACTTCATTTGGTACTGCGAGAAAACAAGACTGCTTGACCTTGACAGTAACCTATTTTTGCAAGAATTATTTAGTTACACAGCAAAAACTAAAATCCTTCATGTAAAAAAAAATCCCTCCACACCTCGACCCCCCACCCCCCTGTTTACACCTTACACACACACATGCACACACTACACACACATGCACACTCACACACACACACTCACACACACGGGCCACTCCATTCACTTATTATCAACAAATCTCGAGAGCGGAAACCATACAGAAAATAGAGTTCAAATTTATTTTCCGAACGGTCGGAGAAATAGAGCCGGCCTAAAATAATTAGCTGTAGTTATTCGCACAGGGAGTGTGAATACTATGGAAATGTACACAGTGTGTGTACATGACACTGAGACTATGAGCCCGGTTGCCGATTACCGTGTACGTAGACACTGAGGCTAGGTGCCCGGTCACCGTATACGTAGACACTCTGAAAAATTAATTTTTATGCGCACACCCGGTGTGGGTGATCTTGTAGTTCCGTACGTTAAAGTCCACGATCCATTTGTTTACATCCAGAGAAGAAATCCAGAAGTCTTGATGACCAAATACTATTTGAAATCGTCTACACAAAGAGTAAAGATGCAACCTAACTGCAAAACATCAAATTAGGATAAAATTCAGGGGGGCGTGCCTGAACCCCCCCCCCCCCAGCTCCATATTTTTATTAGGTCAGGGGGGCAGCCCCTGAAACCCCCCTACTCTTGTCTTTAACCAACGAAATTTTTTTCAAAATCGCCCCGGTGTGTATAATCACTTAGATCTACCTAAATAATTATCTTTAAAAATCTCGCAATTAAATCTCAGCAATTCTTGTACCTTCTCACCACATCGTTATTCTCATCCGGGGTGAAAATAAAAACATTTACATGTTATTCTCACCCGGGGTGAGAACAGAATGAAATTGAGGAAAAACAGGTCTTGTTTCACACCGGGTGAGAATATCCTACGGTGGCCAAGTCTCACCCGGGGTGAGAGGTCGATCGTATTCTCACCCCAGGCCCCAGGTGAGAATAATATCCAACACTCACCCACACACACACAAGAAGCGTGGGAGACATGAATCAAGAATCTCAGTAAACAAAAATCTACTCGAGTGAACTGTAAAGCGCAAATGAGTTTGAGACTGGACAGAGACAGTGGTGAGGGGACGAGGATTGTCACTTTGTGACAACTTTGTCTCTGCACTCAGCCCTGACAGTGACACTAACCTGCCAAGAGAATTGAAGGCAACCAGAGCACTTTGCACTGCTGTCTGCAAACCCATCTCCCTCTTCGAAAATCTCACATAAATATGATAAGCAAGCTGCTTGCAAAAATACACAGGGCCATTCCTCATTTCATGGTCATGTGTTGCTTTATCAACAATACACAAGGAATTCTCTTCGGTTGTCTTACATGTCACCGGAAACGTCTCTTGTCAACAAATCAAGTCATCTCCCTTCTAAGATGTCCTGTTTGCATTTCGCCTTTTAGTATGAAAACAGAAAAAAAATCGGGTTATTAATTAATTATCAGTTTTCTTCAGACTATCGCTTATAACAAGTGAAACCCATAATAAAATCAAGAGCACTAGGTCAAAATGACACCAATAATGTCATTATTGATGTCGCTTATTTTTCTATGAACGCTAGACAACTGAAACATCTTATAGAGCGGAGACAGCAACTTGAGACCTGCACTTCCGCGTTTGTTTGTAACTTTTAAACATCAGAGAGCTGAGAGCGACGAGCGATCGGCGCTTGATTTCCCGGACGAGAAGGACAGGTAAAAATATTCCAGGTGAGGTATCGTATAAAGTTATGGACATTTGAAACATACTCAAAGAACGAGTGATATTTCTTTTTAAAGAAAGATAATGTGTACAACTTGACTCTATTACAATTGTGAAATTTGGAATGTTTTTTGACAGTCATGAAGTTGACCGGTCTTCTCTAGGCAAAAAAGATCCATTCTACAGCAGATATCTAACAGTTGACTAAGACAAAACGTAACAACGCAGTTACAGCTCAGCTCAGTTACTACACATCCCATAGGATGCCAGGCTTCTTGAAGATCATAGAACTTCACCCATCAGAGGATTTATAAAACATCATTGATCTATAATCTAGATCTAGATATTTTATCAATATAGAGGCCTATTAGTATTGGTTTGTAAATTATAAACCGGGTTTGGCACTTTAGCCGTGCTCGTTTCTTTCCTCCTACTCCCTGACTGTAATACACATGACAGTAATTAGCCTTAATTAGGCCTACTATACAAGATACTGAGTACTGAGTACTGATGGCAGAGTACCCCCATTGCCCTGCCCCTTCTCCCCTCCCCACCCCCCCTCTCTCTCT